GATACAAAGAGCCACAGTGATGCTAAACAGCAGACGGTAGCAGCGTGATGGCGGTCTGTGTGTAGGAATCTCCTGGGGCGGGGGGGGGTCGTTCAGGGGGGGCTGGGTCCATGACTCAACAGTTTAATGTCTCCAGGCCTTCAGTCCGTCCTCAGCTCCGCCCGTCTACGCAGTCCTGCACTTTACACCATCTTTACGTCTCAATTGGCTTCTTAAAATGTATTTGTGCAGGTTCCTTTCTGCTCTTTGACGCATTGTTTGACCTTGAATTGTTTTCGATGCTCCGTCTCCGTGTGAGTCAGAGGACAAAGTGGTGATTACCATTTGACCGGTTCTCCGTAGCAGTACCGCAGCCGTAGAAATACTCATGAAAACTGCTTTCACCATCGTATTCCGACGTACAAACCACCTGCAGAATAAAACGCATTCAAGGTATTTACGACTGTGTACTCAGAGTATTTGATGTAATCGAGTGTATATTTAGTCCTCTGCGCTTCTTCAGGAACATTGTCACCATCGTGCCGTTGGGTATTTATTCATATAAAACCAAGCTCATTAGTCACACGAGATGAAACGTTTCTGTGCATCTCCTTTATTCTCAGTTTCCTCCTAAATGTCCATTTAAGCAGCTTAAAAGCTGCTGCTGAGTGAGTGGAGCCCCCTGCTGGCCACCACCAGAACTCCTACAACTATTCAGAAATAAACTAAATCAAGCCTTTCATGATGTTCTCATGTATATAAATTCATATCTATGAAGTTACAAAGATGAAGATGTGGCATTCCCCCCATTTTGTCTTTTCTTTGGTCCCGTTTCACGATTTTGGGGGATTTTGCCGTTGATGAAATAAAGTATTTCATCTCCGTTTCCGGGGCTCCATCATCACCCAGGACCTCAAGTGGGAGCTGAACATCAGCTCCATCACCAAGAAGGCTCAGCAGAGGTTGTTCTTCCTGAAGACGATGATGGTCCACTTCTACACGGCCATCATGGAGTCCGTCCTCTGCTCCTCCATCAGCGTCTGGTACGCTGCAGCCACAGCCAAGGACAAGGGCAGGCTGCAGCGTGTCCTCCGCTCTGCAGAGAGGGTGATCGGCTGCAATCTGCCGTCCCTGCAGGACTTGTTCGCCTCCAGGTCTCTGAAGCGAGCTAAAAAGATCGTGGCCGACCCCTCTCACCCCGGACAAAACCTGTTTGTGCCCCTTCCATCTGGCAGGAGGCTGAGGTCCATCAGGACTACGACCTCCCGCCACACCAACAGTTTCTTCCCGTCGGCAGTCGGGCTCATCAACAGAGCCGGTCCCCCACTGACTGACTATAACACTCCACCGGTCACTCCCCTTCACACTGCACATGCCACTTTAACTGTTATTCATCACTTTGTCGTCACTCGTCACTTTGTCACTTGTTCGCTAGTGCACTTTATGCTTAATATTTTTTAACTTTAATATTTAAATTTTTAACACTAACTTCATTCCCTTGTTTTACACTAACCCATAGCCTTATTCTACTAACCCATTGCATTAGCATTTCATTTTACTTTATTTGATTACTTGTGCACTGCTGTCTTGTTGTCTATTGTCACACTGTCTACTGTCACGCACCAACCGGCAAGACAAATTCCTTGTATGTTTGACATATTTTGGCAATAAATGTTTCTGATTCCTGATTTAGAAATGTACATTTGTCTTTACTGACTTTTAAAGTAATAACAAGTTCTAATGAGTCTTTTATTCTTGTAGTGAAGCTTTGTTTTAGATCATTCCACTTCCACAAAACATAGAAATTACAGCAAATTGTTCAAAGAATCTACAATAATAAATTTAGAAATAATTTGATGAATATTTGTTTGAGAACTGATGCTGAATTAACTCATAATTTGACTAGTTTAGTTAATTAATATATCACACAGAGATACCCAGAGAAATTCAGCCTTCTGATATCTTTTAAAGGATGACTAAGTTTTATATTACGTTCCGTTACTTTCCTTCATTTTTTTAATTCATTATTTATATTTGGAGAATTTTTAGGCAGAACAAAACTAATAAAAAGCCTGAATAACAATATAATAAATATACAAAAAAAGTTGATTATTTTTTGGTTCCTTCCCCAATAAATAAAGTTCGGTGCGAGCTCAGGAAGTATTTTCCTTTAATGAAGACAACACGCCGACGTCCCTCCTCATCTCCTCCACACAGCTTTCGTCTTGGAGTCGGACGGAAACACAACAGAACTCTGATTAAAACCGCTTGAATCGCTCCGCTGATGAAGCCGTCGGTTAGTTCCTCAGAGTAAAGTTACAGAGGGAGCCGCTGTCCTCCTCGGGCGGAGTTCGGGTGGAGTGTCAGTCGTCTCCTCCACAGATGGCCTCCACACAGTCCCCATGCAGGCCGGACAGGTCCGACTGGAGGACACAAAAAGAGCTTCACCAGAAGGTACCAGAGGGCCACGGAACACCTGCTCGTCTCAGAGGGGAACATTCGGAGTATCGTAGCGGCCTTTCATGCCCTTTAGACAATAATAATAATATAGATATATTATAGATATACATGTGTAAACGCGTAATAGACACTAAGAAGTCTCACCTTGATGGCAGAGAGCAGCGAGCACTTGTAGAGCTTCTTGAACTCGGCTCTGATGTCCAGCAGGTCGATCTCAGACCGGCTCACCATGATCCGGTTCAGAGTGGACTCGTCTGTTCCACCGCCCTGATGGACACACACACACACACACACACACACACACACTTATTGTACAATTTTTCTCTCTAAAACAAAGTAACAAAGTTCTTCAGACAGTTAAAAACACCAAAATGTAATTGATTTATTTGTGATTTTAGCATTTATGTTGACGAACATCGAAATGTGTCGACACAATGAGACAACGCTGCGAGGACGGGGTCAGGGAGCGTCCCCTACAGCGTCTTCATTCCGAGCAGGATGGCGGCATGACGCCAAACGCGCCTCACGCACGAGTGAACACAAAGCGCCGCCTCGCCGTTTGCCTCCAACCGCTGGTCTGTGACCGCGACGTGGCCGTCTGTCGCGGCGGACGCGGACCAGGGTGGGGGTTCGTCCAGCGCTCTGCGACCTAAGACGTGTGCAGAAAGTGGACGTTCACCTTCATGCTCGCATGCAGGCGCTCGGCGAAGTAGGCCGGCACGCTCTTCACGCATTTCACTGGAGGAGAAAGTTAAAGACGACAACGTGGTTAGAAAAAAGGGCAAAAGCTGCATCCTGCATGGTGACCAGCAGGGGGCGGCGGCTCCTCGGCTCCCATGGACTTCACCACTGAAATGTCTCAGCTCAGGAATCCAGTCTGACTGCAAAGTCGCAGTCGGTGGTGGACGCGTCACTTATTTTAGGGTCAGTATTTTCAGAGTTAAAGCACAAACCGATGGCCACCAGCAGCTCCTCCAGCGCCCCCGACATCTCCCCCTCGACGCTCTGCTGCAGGGTCTTCCCGCTGACGTTCTTGTATTCGAGCAGAGCTGCGCAGAGAGGAGAGCGGGGACACTTTGTTCAGAGCGCCGAGCGGCGGAAAGGCTCCGCGGGACACTCGAGAGAGAGAGAGAGAGACGGGTTACTTTGTCTCAGCTGGGGGACGCTTCTCCGGCAGAGGACGTCGACGAATTTGGATTCATCCGTTCCCCACTTCTTCTCCCCGGCGTCGTAGAGGGTCTGTGTGGCGTTATGGAGTTTATAGAAATATATATATGTATGAATAGATAGATATAAGAATGAATAGAGTACTGCACCTTGGCGTCTTTCTTTGCCTTCTCCGCATCTACCGCGGCGCTTTCGTCCCTTTTGCCCTGAGAACAAAACCACTTTAATTGAATCCTTCTGAAGCCCCTCGGTCTCCTCCTCGTCATCGCTGGTTAATAAACGCTTTAGGGATGAAGAAGGAAGCCGCCGTCCACGTTTACTTAGGACCAACGTGACGGAGGGAGCTCGTTTTGTAGCGTGCGATTAAAAGACATGTGCTCTGCTTTTTATAAAAATAAAATATGCAAAAAAAAATGGCCACTTAAAACAAATTGTGATGTGATTTGTGATTAGAATTTAATGTAAATGTTCAAGACATTCCAACTGTCATTAGAATTGTCCAAGAGCGGATTGTCAGTATATTTAGAAGGCTTTAAGTATTTATTCGAACATGTGGACAAACCTCGGCCAGGAGCAGCAGCGCCTCGGCGAAGTCTCCAGAGATCTCCCCCCTGAGGTCGAGGGTCAACTTCTTCTGCGTTTCTGTGACAGAAACCACGAAAGGTCAAAGCGGAGACCGGGGCTGGTTGGAGGGGGAAGTGCTCGCGTGCGCGCGGTTTCACCTTTCAGGTACGCGTCCGTCAGGGCTCTGATCTGCTGGTTGGATCTGGAGGCGAAGATCTCGATCAAGATGCCGTCGTTGGTCCCGGCGCCCTGAACGACATTCGATGAGCCACACGGACGCCGGTGACAACTTTCACAAACTTCAAGTTATTTCTACATTACTAATCTATGGTTTTTGAATTTGGCAGCACTTTATATTTTTTTTTAATATTTTATCTTACCACATTTATTGCACTAAAATGTCCTCCTATATGACCAACCACTTGCTGATGGATGAATTAATAAAATAAAGTCCAGCTCTGAAGCTGATTTTGCTCATTAAAATAGATTTATCTCCTCAAACATTTCTTGCAAAATGGCAGAATAAAAACAATATTACACCAATATTACTCTCATCATCAGGCACAATATTACATTTCTACTTTGCACTGGCGTTATATTGCAGGCGTTATATTCTCACTATTCTATTGTTCTCCTCATACACGTAGTTAGTTATTGATCTCATAGAGGAAATGGATGAAGATGTATTGTGAGGTGCGTAGGACCGACCTTCATGGCCTTCATCACTTGGTGGCAGTCGAAGGCAGCGGGCGGAGTGGCGAGCGCCACCAGCAGCTCCTCCAGGTCTCCGCTGGTGTCTCCTCTCAGGTCCTCCACCAGCGTCTGGAACGCAACCGTGGAGACGGAGGTGGAAATGAAAGTAAACCAAATATTTCATATAAGGAAACGATCAGCAACACGTGTGTTGGTCGAAGTTTTGCAACCACAGGAACTCTTATTTTGAAAATTCCCTGAGGAGGACTGCTTCCTTACTCTGCCAGTGGCTTCCTTGTAGGCCTCACAGAGGAGCTGCCTCTGGGCGCTGCTCCGACGGGTCAAGATCTCAATCAAAATCTTCTCTTTGGTGCCTGGAGCAGAAACATCAACGTTCACAAACCTTCTTGATCTCAAAGCTCAACCATCCGACTGGGAATAATAAGAATTGTCATCACGCAGCCGCAGATTCATCATTTCAGGGACAGAAAGAGGCGCGTTTGGGTACCGAGTCCTTCGATGGCGTTCCTCAGCGCAGCGACGTCGTCTCCGGCATTGAACCCGGCTTTGGGCTTGATGGTTCCTCGCTCCCCGGTCTGAGGAGGAGACGTGCGTCTAATTAATAACTACCAATGGAACACCCCCCCCCCCCCTCCCAGGAGATGTTAGGCTCCAGCCGGACCTACCGGCGCCGTGAAGGATGACGGAGAATTCGCCAGACTTTCCAAGTCGTCCTGCAGGAAAGTTCAACATGCACCGTCACCATGGAGGTCACCACGAAGGTCACCATGAAGCAGATGCGAAGAGAGAGAACTCACCCATAGAGACGCCATGGCAACAAGGGGACTTCTTCTGTGGGGAAGTACGACGCGTTCGTAGTTAAGCTTCCGGCTCAGTGAGTGTTCAAACTAGGAGGATGAAACACGAGTCGACCTCATCGGCCTCGTATGCAAACACTCACCAGGGCTTTGGCTGTGTGCTGCGTTCAATGTCCTAGGAAGGAGCACAATATAAAACAGATGATTCATTGTGTCCATCACGTTTGGCTTTGCTCTATTTAACAGAATGATCCACTCAGGGACTTTTCATTGTTCATTTCAATTTAGGTCAAAAGGTGCTTTTGAGTTTGTACAGATCAGCAGATTCTTCTCACATAACAGTACATATTATTCTTATTTATATATTATAATTATCTGTTATCTACTTTTGTTTTATGTTTGAGCACAATGTGAATAAAAGGTCTTGTGTTATGATTAATCAGTATGTTAGTTTATATTTGTTTCTTTGTTAGAATCCTATTAAAAGTTTTCGCCTCATTAGTAAAGCCGGCTGCTCTGACGTCACATCCCAGTGGAAACGTGACACAACAGGAACCAAACACTAAATATTATTGCCCAGGTAACGATGACCTAATGGCGCGAGGCCAAACCTCCAATCATCAGTTTTTACTCTAAATAAACCGAATAAAAGACAGTAAGTCTCACCTGGACGTCCGGCCGCGCGTTCCGCCACACCTTCAGTCCGTGAGACCGGATATGCACCTGAGGAGTCATCGGCCACGCCCCCCTCTCCCAACGCGCATGTGCCGCCTTCAGGGACCACTCGGCCATTTCAGTTTCTACGTGTTGAGGGGTCCTGAGGCTGAACAAGTAACGCCTCAGTTCTTATGTGTGTTTTACAAAGTATGGTTTAGTTTTTTCCTTTTTCACTGTTTCTAGTTGTACTTTTGAATAAAAAATAATCCAAAATCATTAAATACAAAAGAATCTGTTTTTTTAACAATATTTTTTTATTCCTAAAAAAAGGCACGAAATACAGGCATCATGTTGATAGCGTCCGAGTTATTTTCCACACAATGATAGCACCAAAAAATATACCGTTACCCCCCCATACTAGTTCCTGTCCACCCGTTGTTCTGATAGGCCCACTGAGGACAGGAGGCGGAGTCAGAGGGACGAGTGACAAAGACGTGTCAATCTCACGTGAGACAACGCGACAAGCTTCAGATGTCTTTCTTGTTCCACATCATGAGTACATCAGTAGTACACAAGTACATCAGTAGTATACAAGAGGGTAATATAATAATACAAATGAAGGGGGGGGGGTTCTGTGTCTTTGAGGGGAGCGAAGGCAGGTAGACACACACATTATTATAAAATACATCATGTTAAAAAGTGATTATTGTCAGTGGGTCAGTAGTAAGGCTCACGTGGACGGGGGTTCGATTCCCTTCGTTAGCGATTTATCGCAAACTCTTGGGAAAAACAACAACCTTTGGATGATTTGTTGATGAGTACAAATACCGCTTGGCACTTTAACATCGGCAGCTCGGTCCAACGGGACAACGTCTCTGAGTAAGGCTTGAAATGGTCATTTAATGCAAAAATAAATGTCTGCCATGAGGGAGGGAGGGCGGGGGGGCTTAATTGCACTTTATAGGTATCACTTCTTCGGGATTTGATTCACTCTCGGCAGCAGTCGGATGAAAGGAGCGGAACGTCATTCGTGGATTCGGTGACTTTCTGGAGCTCACAGTGTGACGACGAGCAGCA